TTTTTTTTTCTGCATGGATCCTTGATCCTTGAGGGGGAAGGGTACAATAGACACATTCTGTTGAGGGCGGAGCACTCTCCAAAGGCTGTCACTCTTGAAGGGTTGTGGATCTCTGTGTTAATTTCCATCTACTCCAAGAACAAGCTTATCTGCTTAGGGTTGTGGGATTCACTGAGCCAGGAGAACAGCAATATGTCATTAGGAGATTTTTTTTGTCTTCTTTTCACTTTCTTTCTCTCTCTCTCTCTTCCTTCCTTCCTTCCTTCCTTCCTTCCTTCCTTCCTTCCTTCCTTCCTTTACATCAGGATCGCAGCCCCCCTCCTCTCCTCCCAGTCCCACCTTTAAACCCCTCCCCATTCTCCTTCATTTTTCTCCTCTGAGAAGGGAAGGGTCCCCCTACCATGGGTACCCACCCACCCTGCCTTGGCACATCAACTCGTAGCAGGACCAGGTGCATCGTCTCCCACTGAGGCCAGATAAGGCAGCTGAGCTAGGGGGGAAGGACTTCAGAAGGAGGTGACAGAGTCAGAGTCAACTCCTGCTTTACTTGTTAGGAGCCCCAGGTGGCACATCTGCTACTTAGAAAGAAATGTTTTAAGTCCTTAGCCATCAGTGAGATGCAAATCAAAATGGCACTGAGGTTCCTTTTTACACCCATTAGAATGCCTCATGTCAGAACCCCAAGTGACAACACATGCTGGCGAGGAAGTGGAGCAAGGAGGATGCTTCTCTGTTGCTGGTGGGAGTGCAAACTTGTGCAGTCACTTTGGAAACCAGTTTGGTGATTTCTCAGAAAACTGGAAATAACTCTACCTCAAGGTCCAGCTGTACTACTCCTGGGCATACATCCAAAAGATACTCTACCACCCCACAAGGACACTTGCTCAAATATGTTCATTAAGGGTCATTTTTATTGCTATATTAATTTACCAGAGTAAATAGTGACATTTTCCCCCTAGGTCATGTGATTTGTCTTGTCTCAGATTTCGAGCTCATTAATAACAGTATAAGGTATGAATTCTAGCTCATGTGGGCATTAAATCCAATAGAAAAGTGGTCCACTGCTCTCCTGACATATGTGCCTCCATTGTTCCAGCCAGATATCGTGCAGATAAATCATTATTGCAGCTTGCAGGGTTGTAGCCGTGTGAGATTCATTACTTGTCTTCTACACTAGCATGTATAGCAGTGTCTCCCAGAACTATGAATGGATGGTCTCTTAAATATGCTCATTTATACACTTCTTTCTTTATCTGATCCACAGAACATGAAATATTAGGAGGAAAAAAATCCTATGTCTTGGCGACCATTTTGCCATTAAATTGATCCTATGAAATGAAACATCGCCATTTTTTAAATCTTTAAATTTGTACCTCAACTTTAAAATTTAGACCATTATAGCTATCTATTCAGTGTAGAGCTAAAAAGTGTTGAAGTTACTTAAACAAAATCATAAAATGATGCCCGGTACCATACAATCCTTATTTCATCATTCATTCGATTCTTGTGTGGATAGTCTCTTATCTGCTTGTATAGATATATCTCATTATAGAATTGTAGTATCACACGCTACCCCATTTCTTGATCATGTACTCTGAGGTTATTCACAGAATGGGTGCAGTTTAATCAATGATCGAGTTCTTTCAAGATCTGTCAACAATCAAGCACAACAACAACAACAACAAATCTGTCACTCTCTGTGTGCCGAGTTTAATGCTGTGCTTGGCTTGGCCTATTAATGTGTTTCACCTGTCTACTAAAAGAGCAATATCTTTGTTAGATGAGGACTGATCTCAATACACAATTTTTCAGACATTACTGAAAAATAGTTAAGAAGACTTTTATTATTTTCTGAGCATTGATTTTTCTTTTTTAGTATAAAACATAAAGTCTCATTCAACTCTTCTCTTAAAAGCATTGTACATGTGCCAAGAGTTGGTTCAGTAGGCCCACTGTACTTGTATAGCAAAGTATGAAATTACCTCATAATACAAGGATAAACATTGTTGCATTTATATAAGGCATTCTTTACAAAGGATAACCCTGCCCTCTTATTTTGAGCATGTTATGGGTGATTGTGTGGTCTGTGTCTTGTTTTGCTATGTTAACAACAACAACAACAAGTTGTTTCACTTATATTAGGCAATCTTTAAAAGATAGGCTAACCCTATCTTCTTGTTTTGAGCGTATGTTATTGACAATTGTATGACCTGTATCTGCTTTTGCTCTGTTAGTTATAACCAATAATACAGTTTAAATTTTAGGTTGCAGATATTTCTGTAAAAAAAAGGTAATTTTCAATAAAATATCCTAAAGATTATTTAAGTGAATATCAAAAATTACAGAGATTCCATGCCTGCCATAAAGAGACCAGGAGTGACAATTATCTTGGCCCAAGCTTATTTAACATTTAGGGATTTGTTGCCAGACTTCCTTGAGTCACTTTATTGGCTTTTGAGTCACCTACCTGGCAACATATACTTAGATTCTTTGATGTATCATCATTTGAAGGAGTTTTCATTAAAAATACCATTTAAAGTTGTTGTGTTACAATGTTGCCATTGCTTCCCACAGCAAATGCAGTGCAATGGAGAGATATTAATGAAGATAACTGCAAACTGAAGCTGTATAGCCGATTCTATACCACTAGTACAAATGCCAGAAAAGATGATTTCATAAGTATTGACTCTAAGAATAAAATTATGACTATCTATATTAGTGTGAACTTAAAATTACTTTTACCAGTTCAAGTTTGTACACTGTTTTTTAGTGAACATTGCTTTATATTCTTAGTTGTTAGTATGTATCTATTATAGTAAATAATGTTCTTCATTATAACATTTTTCTGTATGTCTATCCATTTTTCAAGCCACACAGGAAGAACCTGCTGATAATTCTGTCTCTTAGATGTTAAATACTCAATTTCCCATCAATATCAGTTTATCTTCATCTCAGAAATACATTAAGCAGTTGACATTGCATGGCTGCCACCATCCCATCTCTGATTTGTTGTCCTCAGTACTTTGTTGCTGGTCGCTTGTTTTTACTTTTATACCAGTATTTGTGTTTTGTCATTAGCCAGAGAGATTTTCCCAAAACAAGTCAAATCAGATCAAAGTTCCCCCAGAATGCCTCACAGGGAATAAAGTCCAATGTTTTTCTATGGCCTGTGACACTTTACGTAACCTGCTCTCAGGCTGCTTCTAGAGAATGTACTTTGCTCATTGCATGAAGTTATGCTGCCTTTTGGACTAGTCTATTCATGCATTGAGTCCATAATTAATTGCCTTTGAGGTTTTGCATTTGTGATTTGCTGTGCCTGAGATACTATCTTCCTTGGGATGTATGTGACTTTTTTCAATATTTCAATGATTTTTTTTCTGACTTTAAATTGGTAAAATCGAACTCCATCACCTGTGATCCTGATTTTCTCCTGTCTATGGTATCATTGGGCTCTTGTTTTCTATTGTATGGCTCTTCTATACTGCTATCTCTCAAGAAGAGTACAAGTTTTATGAACATGGAGGCTTTGAATTGATCATGAGCCATTTAGTTAGTGAGCAGAGATTCCTTGTCCTTCAGTCACAGAAACCAAAATGTTAGGACACAGAAGAGATGATAGAATCTCTGAAAAAGGATTCCACTACAAACCCTCCAGAGATTACAAATTCAAAGACTGAGAAAAAAAGTCTGGAGAACTCAGGTGCTTTTTCTACAGTGTTCACAAGAGGTTATCTGAGAGGAATCCACCAGTTTCTGGGCACCTTGTACATTTGGTACTAAGGTGAAGACTTGCCATAGAACTAGTACATCTTGATAAATTTCCTCTCAGCCTTTGATTCACTGACAGGTTGAATATTCAATAATGTAATTTTGGTTAATTATTAAGACTCTGCTCAGGACCAACAAAGAGCAAATAGTGATCAATTCCATGAGAGAAATGCTGAGCACAAACATCTTCTAAGGCAACCCCACCCAAATTGAAACTCTAAATGCATTGCTGTGGGTAGAGTTTACATCAGCAGAGTATGTGCATTTCTGCCTCAATGAAGTAGGTCTTTTGTACCTATTGATGCTTATAAAGCAGCAGCATCCACTTGAAGTTACAAAGGAAGACAGAAGCCTGGTGCATCTGTCCTTCAGAGGCATGCGCTCTGTGCTGAAATAAACTCTTTCTGGTATTGAGTAGGTTCATGTGGCCTTTAGGGGGAGACCAGCAGAAGATCCATCAGCTGTGACTCCTAAGACGACAGCTATGTTAGATTTATAGGCTATGGTTTCTGATGAACAGATTTTTAGTGAGTGATGGATGAGGGATAGATAATAGGTTAATAAATAAATGAGAAGGCTTATGTATCTCTAGGAGATTTTCTTGTGACCAATTAAATGAATCAGTTGAATAAGTTGATTCCATCAAGATCCAATTCATGACATTTAAATTGTCATATGAACACACGTGTTTGACCTCACTAAACAAAAACAATGATTAGCCAAGAAGCGTTATGCAGATTTGCTACAAAGGCATGACAGTCTACTTGGAAGTATTTCCATTATCACACTAGGCATTAATATTTGATTAAGCGTAACTTCAATTGATAGGAAATTACTCTTTAAGACTTAACTATGAAAAATGTACTCAAGTGTACCCCTAAGAAATCACCTCATTAATTATGATTATTTCTATTTTAATTTCCATGTGGCTTCATGTAACTGTGTGGCCCAGTTGATTAGAATGCACACCACAGACACTTTCTGAAGCAGGTCCTTCACCGGTATCATAAAATCAACGTCCAGTTTTATATAAATGTATGATTTCTGCCTGGGTCTAATTTAAGAGTTTAGCAGACTAAATTATATTTTATCATCTGTCCAAGGAGCTAAAAACAGAAAGCAAAGATGTACTTCCAAGCTTAACAATTTCAACTGTTTATATGGCAAAACGTGTTTTCTACTCAGAAGACATATGGCTGAAGGCAGTTGTTAAATTCTCAGCGTCCTACCTCTCGGATTGCTGTACAAAACTCACTCTGAAGCACCTTTTTGAGAGACTGGAGCTTGTGCACTGGTACTTCTCCAGATTCTTGTAGCTTTTCCAGTAGTTCGATTGCTCTTGCAACATCTGAGTGAGGGAAAAACATTAGCATGAAGACAGGATAAACTATTGCATCAGCAAAATGCCATCATTTCAAGTGATGATGTCATTCCACTTGATCATCGTGTGGGATTCATTGTAAAATCAGAATTTATAATTTGGAGCTTATTGATTTCATCTTCTGGTCAAAGACCACTTAACTCATCAAAGTAAGCATTAACTTCTATCTTTGATGGTGTTTCTTAGCCTTAAATGGACTAAGTATTCCAGACTCAAATTCTTTCTACTTCAGTCTCTTAAAATACTGAAGTGTGCCCACTACAACTGCCACGACTGTTTTATTTTTCTTTTAGAGTTTGCCTTTTCTTTTACTTTTTTTATATGACATTTATCGTAGATGCAATGTTACAATGATTAGCACTCTGATTTGATTGTTGTACAGCTCCTTGCTTTGTCTATAAACTCTTTGAGGAAGAAACTTTACTAGTTTGATTGCCTATGCTCCCGTAGTCTGATATGATATTAAGAATAACTGGTTTTTTGTTTTGTTTTTTTTTATTTTTTATTGGATATTTTATTTACATTTCAGATGTAATCCCCTTTCTCCATTTCCCACCCATCCAGGAACCCCCTATCCCATTCCCCCTCCTCTTGCTTCTGTGAGGATATGCCCCCACCAAACCCACCCATTCTGATTTGACTGACTCCATCTCACCACTTGTTCCAAGTCCTTTAAGCACTGTGGTGGTTTGAACATGCTTGGCCCAGAGAGTGGTACTATTAAAAGGTGTGGCCTTGTTGGCAGACGTGTGTCACTGTGGGGTGTGTGGGGGAGAGGACCTTGTTCCACATCCTCTTCATCATCTTCTACCCAATGGAAATAACTTATTCTCCAACATCTACAGTGTTACAATGTTACCTTTTCAAAAGAGAGATATGGTCATATCCCTATCTACCAGCCTTTTGAGTAATATTGAGAGAGTTTTCAAATATTAAAGTCAAAGGTTAATGTAGCAAGAATTATGTTATTTTTTTATAGCCAGCAAAGAAAGCTGAAATACGTGGATTGTTTCACATTGCCAAAAGAAAATAACATAATGAAAGCCTATTTAAAAATATTTATAGTGATTCCTTCCCACACAGTTGCTGTAGTCAGCACCCCACCAAAAAGCCACTTAGGCATTAAACAGTAGAGTATTAAGCTTTCAATTCCTAGGCAACAACCTATAGGAAATAGTACATGTCACTGCAGTAAGATTATAAATTCATTCATCTATTTGTCCATCCATCCATCCATCCATGCATCCATCCATCCATGCATCTATCAATTTAAGGTTCTGCTATATATAGCACATCGCTTATCAAGAATAATATATTTTTTCTTGAAATCATGGAATTCCCAGTCTAATGAGAAAAAAAATATAACAGCACAGTTGCCAATTGGAAAAAATTGTTATACTTCTGAATTTGGGCAAGCTTAGCATGGGTATGTGTATCTAACTGAAGCAAATTACCCAGAAGGGACTTTAGAATCTGCCCCCTGGGCCAGTTATTTTTATTGCCAATTGTAGCCCAAAGTAAAACAAATCATGAAATCAATGCTACCCTGTCAGATCCTGAAGTCTGACTTCTAGTACATAAGCTGGAAGAAGGCACAGTCGATTCGACAACACCAGGCACATCTACAATTATTGATGCACCAGCTGAGATGTTATGCCTTTTCAGCACATAAAATACTCTACCCAGATACCCATGGGCACAAAGAACTCAGTGTGTTTAAAACTGAGCTCATTATTTTTTTTCCTTGAAAACCAGCTTTTCTCTTCCTGCATTCTGTATTTCCATTAATAGGACCCCAAGCAGCCCGACTCCCAAGCTTGGCTGTGGCATCATCTTTCACACCCACTCCCACATGCTGTTAGTCAGCAAGCTCTATGGATTCCATCTGAACGGTGCCCCCTGAACGGAATTCTCTACTTCATTATTTCAGGGGAGCCTTCATTGTCTCTCACCTGCTCGACTAGAACACAATCTGCCTAATTAGTCTCTTTTTTTTAAACAAGTCTTTTCCTTTTTCAGACCAGCCATGGTATTGCTTCTAGAGTAACAATCCAGAATGAGAGATCTAGTTCTTACACTCCTGTACATTAAATTTCACTGACATCCGCTACCTAGCAGATAAAGTTCAGGTCATTTGGGGGTTTATTGGAGGCTTTAGCAATCAAACTCACTTCCTGCATTACTAAACACCTCCTGTTCCTCATGGTGTAGTTTGGAAACCTGTTTTTGTGATTGTTGTTGTTTTGATGTTGTTTGTTTTGTTTATTTGTTTCTTCTTTCTCCTTGGTCTAAACTAAGCCACAGAGTGTTGTCACACCATTATAACACATTGCAACCCATGCATTCTTTTAGTAATGACACCTTTGTGAATGGAGACATGGTGACAGAGGAGATAATCCCTTCACTTGTTTTTATGGGATGCACTATCTTGGGTCACAGATATGCTACAAAGATGCATATGCTTTAAGCAGGGCACTACAGGAGATCTAGGCATGTAAAGCCAAGAGATATTTCATTCTGTGAGTGGCCAGAGAGGACTTACAGGAAGCAAGCTCATAGGTAGGCGATGGGAACAGGAAAAGGATGAATGAAGAATGTTTCAGGAAGTCACAACCAGAGAAGATGGAAGACTTGATTAAGTAAGTATGGGTCATTTAAAGTCCCCTGAGAAGCTCTGCCAGAGCCTGACCAATAGAGACGTGGATGCTTGCAGCCAACCATTGGACTGAGCACGGGGACTTCAATGAAGGTGGTAGGGGAAGGACTGAAGGAGCTGAAGGGGTTTGCAACCTCATAGGAAGAACAACAATATCAACCAACTAGATCCCCCAGAGCTCCCAGGGACTAAACCACCAACCAAAAAGTACACATGGAGGGAATCATGGCTCCAGTCTCATATGTAGCAGAAGATGGCATTATCTGGCATCAACGAGAGGGGAGGCCCTTGTTCCTGTGAAGGCTTGATGCCCCAGTGTAGGGGAGTGCTAAGGCGGTGAGACTGAGAGTGGGTGGGTGGGTGAGGGACCACCATCATAGAAGCAGGGGGATAGGATAGGAGGTTTGTGGAAGGGAAACTGGGAAGGGGGAAACATTTGAAATGTAAATAAATAACCAATAAAAAAAAGACAGAAAGGAGTTCAGTAGGGTTAAAGCTGCAACAAGAGGGAATGTACAAGGGGATGAGGCAGAGAGAAGGCATATCATGCAGGATGCTTTAGTCCCTGTACCAAATAATCTCTCTTCAAGGATGTCTTCACTGATATCTGTGCTCCCACGACTCTTTGTTCCCTCATTGGTTACACTAGCTATTACTCTCACTTTGTATCAGTTTGCACACCTGTTTTCTTCCTTTATCCATGGGAGTTTATGCATTTCTTATGTATGTGTTCCCATGTTTCATGGTATATGTGTGTTCATATATGTTTCCTTGTGTGTGCTGGCATGGAGAAGTACAAGATGTCTGATCACACTGGTCAGCAGTCAGGAAGCAGAGAGGTGACTGTGGGTATTTAGCTTACTTTCTTCTTTTTATTCTATCCAGGACTCCTCCACCAACGGTTCCAATCACATGCAGAAGGCATTTCCTTTCTTCCTTTGAAACCTTCTAGAAATAGTACCTTCAAACACACTCAAGCAATTTCTGTGATGATTCTTGATCTTGTCAGGTTGGTAGCGAAGATTAACCATCACAGCTGAGTATGATAATCACCCAGGGAGCTTTAAAAACACAGGTGCACAGTTACACACATGCAAGGGTTTCCAATGTGACTGGCACAGCACTGTATCTGGACATGAGGCATAAAGGCGTACAGAGTTGATACCAGTGCTCTAGAGGGCATAAATGTTTTAAAGTTCCTGTGGGATTCTACTGTGCATCTAGGGCCTTTAAAATACTGTTGTAGATTCATGGCTCCAAATATAATTGTTTTTGAGCTCATTAAAGAGGGCTGGCTGATATACAGGCTCCTTGCCCTCATCTCCATTTGAGATATGTTGATTGAGAATATCTTGTTTAAAAGAACTGCTCAAAGTAAGAGTGCAAATAGTGGTACTAATTCATAAGCAATAAATGTGAAAACCTTGCATTCTATTATATTTTTGAGATAGTTTATAGAAAGGATGCTAAATTGGATTCTTCAAGACATCTAAGAATTACTAATAAAAGTGATTGTGGTTGAGTACCACTTTCATTTTAATACTTTGGTTTTTTTTTTTAATGACATTCGAACCCTGACTGATGAACCCTGAATCTTTGAGTAGTATCCAGTCTTTTGGGTTTTTTTATGTTTCCAGGAAATTTCCATGGCCATGCAGGGATGAGAAAAATACTGTCCAAGTAAAACAAAACCAAAAACAGATACCGTTCCAGTATGACTTACTGCAAATTAAAGTGATTTAATTATATTACACCAGTACATCATTCACACTCCTTATATGGGGTTCCTGGGTAAAGATAGAATATTTCCAAGGAAATTTATTTTACTAATTTTGGACAGAATCATACAACATTTGCTTCTGTTCCATTAGCTAAGGGAGGAAGGTCTCAGAGGAACAACTTTAGAGAGTGGACGCTCTGAGAGGGCTAGCATGCCTTCCTTCGCTGCATAGCCAGTGGCGGTTGTCATCATCCTGCCTTCTATATCTATCTGGGCAGGTCAAGAGGGGTTAGGCAGAAATGGCACTTGGGCCCTGAGCCCTCTTGCTGATATTGGTCCATTTGAGTCCAGCAACAGGAAGCCAGGGAAACCCAGAAGGTGATGAAAGATAAATGGATCCTGAAAGCCAACGTGAGGAAAACAATGGGATCTCCAATTCAAGCCTGGCTAGTGCTGGAAAAAAAGGGAGTTGCCGAGACCTGGACAGGAGACCTGGACCTGTACACAGAATTCTGCTACTGTACAAAACACACATACACACACCAAACAACAAGAAACAAACAACCCCCACCCAAAAAAACCCACACAAAA